TTACCGCGGCTGCGTGCGTGGGTGCGCCGCTCTTTTGTTCTCCGCCCCCCGTGCCCGCGTGTGTATGTGCGCGGGTGGCGTGCGGCTGCGAGTGACCCGTCTGCTGCCGCCGTGGCGGGGGCGCAGAGGCGGGGTGGCCTCCGCCGCCGCGGGGTTCCGCCCTGGTGCGGCCCACGCGACGCGTAGGAGCCGCCGCTGCGGGTGTGCGTCCCCCTTGGCGCAGCGGGGCCCAGCACCTCGCCCCCTACCGCCTTTACCCCGGGGGGGCGAAGGGGAGAACGGGCCAAACGTCCGCTGCCGCGTAGCCGCCGCGGCGCGCGCTCGGGCGGCTGTTTCCTTGCGCGCCCGGGAGGCCGGGGGAGGCAGGCCACCCACTGGATTTTGGCGCCCCCGGGGGGAAGGCGGTAGAGGGCGAGCTGCCGGGCCCCGCACGCGGCGCGTGGCGCGTGGCACGTGGCAGGCAGCGGCGGGGCGGGGCGTTGCCCCTTTCGCTTATCGGCGTTTTGTGCCATCTGGTGGGTTTCGTATCCCCGCAATGCGCCTGTGCGCGCGAGTGGCGTGGTGCTGGCTGCGCTGGCGTGCCTATTTTTCTTCTTTTTCTTCTGTGGCTGTAAGGCCTTTTTTGCTTGCATCAGTGTTGGTGAGAGGTCTAACACAGGCAAACCAGTTGAGTGTGAGAAAGGGGAAAAAATGTGGCGGAATTGTGTGCGGTTTTATGTCGCACTGTGGCGACAGCGGTGCGCCCCAATTGTCGAAGTGAGTGGTGCCGCGGTGAGACCGCGTCGGGTTTGCACCACGCCACAGTTGCAGCTGTCCGCTGGGGCCGGCAGCGCCCGCTGGCCGCACCCTGGCGGTTTGGGCGGGATGCTGCACCGCACGGGGGTTCGAATGACACCGCAGCGCTTGCCAAGGCAGGCAAAGGCCGGGCCACCCTCGCCGAGGGGACTCTACGACTCTGTGTTTAACGCAAGGTGGAGCCACGTCGTGGAATTCCCCAAGGGCGAAATGAAGAAAAAGGCGGTGCGAATGCATTTGAAGGCGGGCGAACCAACACAACTGTGGGAGTTCAAGGTGCAGGGCATGACTTTTGAACTGGATGACGCTGCAGACCAGTTTTGTGCACCGCGTCCCAGGCTGATGATACTTTCGTCTGAGCAGGGCTGGCCCTACGTGTGGATGGGGGCGGGGAGCACCAATCCCGACTTCTTTATTAACTGTGAGGTGGAGCGGGTCTGGAGGATCGTCCAGGGTGATCTAACCGGAGCGTTTGACACTGAAGATTTCAAAGGGCTTATGTTGAGCCGGCGTGTTTTGCTTGGGACGTCCGGCGTTGGGAAATCGATGGCTGCCGGCTCCTACCTCCTCTACAAGCTGCTGCACTACGATGATAAGAAACTCCAAGTAGTTGTGTACTGTTTTTGGGAGGAGTTGGCGTACGTGTTTGACAAGACGACGAGAACGGTGGCAGAGTACATAGGTAGGAAGGATATTGCCATTGTGATGGGAGGTTTGGCTCGGCGTGGAATGACGGGGTATATTATCTACGATGTGTTTGCAGAATCGCCATCGCCACATTTTTCGCCCTCCGCCGCATGGGGCATGATTGTGTTGTCCTCTCCAGAGGTAAGCAAGTATCAAGGGTGGGAGGATCAAGTGGGTGCAATGCGAATCATCATGAATTGCCCTGAAAAGCTTGATGTGAAGGCGATGTGTGCTTGGGAGATGCGCGATAAGCCTGCAGAGGAGCAAGCTCAGTACTGGACGATGGTTAAGAAACACATGAATGAAATCGGACCGATTCCACGATACATCTTCACTAAGGATAAGTATAAGGATCGCGTGGTGGCGCTTGACATTGCCTTGCAATTGGTTGGCGCTTCGGATGTTAAACAGTACTTTACTCAAGGAAATGAGAAACTGTGGCTTTCTGAAAACCCGACTCACGAACTTGTAAAAATTGTAAGGGCCGTAGAAGACGGTGTTGAGACTTTTTACAACAAACCGATATGCCGTCGCCTTGGAGGTGAAACACTTGACAGTGTGTGAAGGGCAATTAGATGACACTGCCTTTTTTTTCTGCGGCGAATGTTGGCGTCGAATGGTGACGTTTTGTGAATAGTTCTGGGCTGGTTCGCCGTGGACGCGTCGCTGGGCGGTGCCATTTGCGCAGGAGAGTGGCAGGGGGCGACGCGAGGAGTTGCGGCCGCCAAAGGGAATCCAAGCAAGGCGCTGCCTCCTGCAGACGGAGCCTGGATCGCATCCCAAGGTGGCGTTCACCTTGCGGCCGGAGAGCCCTCTAAAAGGAGGCGACGAAGATGAAGTACGGGGCCCAGCACGGAGCGAGGACCCGGCCACTCACGCTCGTGGACGCCTTTTTTTCTTCGCTGCGTCACAGTCAAGGAGGACGACGACGGTTGGGCCGCGGGTGGCCAGGGCGAAGGAGCGCCACGCCGCGGCCGGCGCAGTGCAGAGGTTCGACGAGCACATGGCAGAGTATTTTAGTGATTGGGTAAATTTTGTCAAGAACTTATCGTGGGAGGTTATTTACGTGCAACGTCGCGGCCGTCCGCCGACAAACACGTGGCAGCGGTGGGAAAATTCCGCGAATCTGAGAGGGGGAATGAAAGTAACGAGATTGCAAAGTTGTGGGAGGAAGATGGGTGCCAGTGCCAGATGGCGATACCACGCGAAGATCTTCTAAAAGAAAAAAAAAGAAAACGATGGCCAGAGTGGGCAACAGCCAGCGAGGCAAAGTAATAATGACAACAAAAAGTGGCAGTTTGTTTTTATATCGAAACAATTTAGGGAACGAATTTTACGTGTCTTTGTGTGCGTTTCTTGTAGTAGTTATAACCAGTGGGTTGCCGTGTTGCGGGCGAAAGGCATAATGTCGGACAGTGCCACAGCAATGGATTTTTTTTTTGCTTTTCTCTTTCTTTTCTTCTGCTGCCCGATATCGCTAGAGACTCCTTCGGGGGGACCGCAAACGCACAATGTCTTCCTTTGTAAAGGCATACTGTGTTGCATACGATATTTTGCTGTGAGGGGCGTTGTGCACTGCAGACGGCGTGTGTGTGTGTGAGTGGCAGCGCGGGGGGTCGTGGCTCGCTGCGGAGCCGTGTGGCGTTGGCGTTGGGGCCGTCCGGCCTCAGTGGCGGTCGCCTCAGCCA